CCTCCGCCCGGGTCCCCCGCCCACCGCCAACGGTAACCTTGGAATTCGCGAGGGATGGCGGCGTTGGCTAGGAGTGGCACCGGAATCGGGCATTTTAGAGAAGACGGATCCGTCAGAGCCTGATGGGTGGGGGGTCCGTGGGCCGTGCGCAGCAGCTGTCGCCTTCGCTAACACACCACCATTTTGGTTCCCAACCTTCTCGCAGGTAGCGGGCCATAGGGAGCTCAGGAGGAGGATGAGGGGTTGGGCTGCTCGGGGTAGGTGGCAGCAGTGGCGACCGCTGCACCAAGTGAGGGGAGGGAGGAGGGGAGACGGTATTCTTGTCTCCGAGCTGTCTGCTTTGCCACAGCGAAGGTTCTCGTTAGGTTTAAGATCCAATCAGATGGGTAATATCTGAAAGGGCACTTGTGTGCCTTCCGCTCGAAATGATTGAAACTTGGCATGGTCCTGGGAAAGGGAGACTTATGCGGGAAGAGGGTTGCGTCCAAAGCTGCAATACTGCTAACTGCCAGTGCTCCTTTGTCTCCTATCTCTGCAAATACTACTTTCGCATTCTCTTGTTCTGCCGCCTCAGAACTGCTTTTCGATCCCTCAGCCTCTGTTTACATCACCGAAAAGCTAAGTAGGTCCTGAATGAGCTATGTTTAGAAGAGCCGGATGAGGGCAAAATGTTGTTGATTTCTGGTTACCTTACAGGGATGGAAATGTTTACGTGACGCTTGTTTGGCGTTTGCCTCCATTCAATAAGGACGTGAAATACACACTTGAAGACCGAAAAAACTAGTGTTTATTAGTTACTGAATACTTAAAACGCTGCTGTTCTCTATTGATACCCTTATTGAAAATTTCTGATGTGAAATTATCCGATTTATTTATATCCAGACAGTGTGATACGTCCCATAATAGTTGCACTGTTTATTAAAATTTTTGTATTTCATTGAGCCACAGTGTAGATTTGCCTCTGGGTTTGGCAAAGATAAAGCTTCCCCCCTTGGTTGGTTCTTTTTTCCTTTCCAAAATAAGGTGTAGCTAGTGATTTTTAAAATGTGCTGTAAAGATTTTTCGTTTAATCAACTGTGCTAACTTTTAAGTGTGGTAACGTTGCTTATATTGTAGTAAGTAGTTGTTTCTTTTGGAATCCCTTTGGCGACTTCAGATGAACAGGTTTGAGCATGTGAATCCTTCCCAGTCTTTCACCCTTCAAGTTAAAGTGTGATGAAAAATTCTTAAGTTGTGTAAGATTTGGTTATAAATGTTTTTAAAATACCTAATTTTGAATGTTTTTGCAATAGGTAAAAAGAACATTTTCCCAGAGAAAATAACATAGCTCAGAAAGAAAATTAACAAAATGAAATTGCTACAGATTTAATTTACAATATTAAGAAAATCTACAATTTCCTCAAGACACTCAGATTAAGGTGACTAACAGATTACTTAATTTTTATTTAATAGTTAAACAAAAGTAACTGTTCAAGGCATTTTTACAATACTCATAATTATTAGTTATTTCATAAAGTAATTACTCTAAAGTTGAAATAGTACACTTAAAATCTAAAAGTAAATGTTTATGGCGTTTTAATTTCTTGTGTGAGCAGAAGTCTATTTATTATTAATTCCCTTGGTGTCTCAACTTAATTTTAAAGGCAAATAACAATGCAGTAAGTGAAGAGAAAATACAACTATTGTTTTTTAATTGTAATTTTATTCTTGCATAAAGTTATTTTGTCTGAATTGCTTGGTACAGAAATTTCATATTTTTATATTCTCACTCATATATCGGTAGAGGTGGACTCTCTTCTTTAAGGGAAGGAAAAAAAATTCTTAGTGCTCTCCTGTACTTAAACAGTAAATTATTAGTTGATTCACATGGCAGTTTTCTAAAACTTATCTATGATGCAACCAACGTTTGTGCAGTATAACATAATTTATTAAATGCTTCTCATAAAAACTGAGATAAATGCTTTGTAAAATTGCAAATTTTTGCTCAATTTTCTTAGACTCAGTGTTTGAGGGGGATTATACATAGGTAATTGTATGAAATACGTTGAGTTGCAGCATCTAACTTAGGTTCCATACTATACTATTGATCTTAAGTAAGGATAAGTCATTTGCAATCAAATAGGTTAAGTCATTGCTTTCAAAATTCTGTGAAGCTACTTTAACTTTATTAGTCATTAACTTAAAAATCAGTTGTATAACTACAAGTAAAAGGTATTCTGAAAGAAACAATTTGCTAAATGTTTGTATGTGATTCATCTTATCTCTACCATATTTAGGAAGCAGTCATGTTTCATGAGTCCTCAAAACTGTGAGACACGAGAATGTAGTAGAGTGAGGCCAGAAGTCCTTACTGGCTCAAAGAACTCCAGGGAAACTGGGATAAAACAATTTACATTATAAGTAGAATCCCAGGAGCCAGAGGTGAAACACAAGTTTATCTGCAGAGCTTCGCTGCAGGGCTGATCTGGGTCTGGAAGAAATGGATGAGAGCCACTGGATGAAATTCACTAATACTAGACACCTGAGCCCTCTAGTAATGTATAAATATCCCAACTATTGTCTGTTGTCATCTTGTTCTTTTTCTTATTTTTATGACCTGCATTTTAACTAAAACCTCAGAACTACAATTTTTGTTTTTGTTTTTTTGCTTGTTTCTGTCACTTTTCCTATGGCTCATAATTCTTATTGTGTCTTATTTTTCATGTTCTTTGCTTTACTTCCATTTGGCCTTTCTTTTAGTTATAGTTGCCATTTAATGCATCTAATCAGGGTTTTTGTTTGTTTTCCTTTGAAACAAGATTTGTGCACCTAGTTGAGAGGCATATCTTCAATTGCTGTGTTTGTTTGTTTTTTTTTTTTTTCTCAAAACAACTTACTTTGGCCAAAATGTATTTAAAGTATTTTTTAAATCTTTTTTTTTTTTTTTTTTAACAGAGATTTGTGAATGAACTTTGTTAAGTATGGATTCAGGCGGTGGAAGTCTTGGATTGCACACATCAGACTCTAGAATGGCCCATACCATGATTATGCAGGATTTTGGTAAAGAGTTTTCTTTGTTGTATTTTTCGTTCTTTTTAAAAAATCAGAACATACCTCAATATTAAAGCTATATTGAAAGAGGGGTGATTTACAGTGAATTGTTCTTTTGCTAGGAAAATACATTTCTAGGGTTATCTTTTTTTTTATAAATAAAGTGCTGTGTGTCTGTGATATACTTAAAATCAATCTTAAAATTTGTCGAGTAGTTTGAGGTAAGGGAATTTGGAATATAGTGGTAATATTATCGTTGGAAATGAAAAAGTTCAATTTACATAAATAACTGCATCAGTTCTCACATGTCAGTTTGAAAAAGTAATGATATAGGAAAAATCATGTACTTGGCAATTAATTATATTCTGATAATAGATCCTCAGAAAGTTGTTAACTAGTAAAATTGTATTATTTTTCTTGTTCAAAAAAATAAGACCCAGCTTTATGGCCATGTTTTCTGACAGCCTCTTAACAGTTTCATTTTGATAAAGTTGTTAAGTTGTCAGTCAACAAAAACTGAATTTGGGCAGCATTAGTCTGAATATATCTGAAATATAAGGAGCAAGAATAAGGTTATAAAATTTGAAGAAATCATAGTATTAATAGACAAGACAAATAGCAAATTAGGATTAAAAGTAAACAGAAAACATGAGGTATTACAAAAATCAGATTTAAAATTAGGGGATTATAACTGCTGATACTTTACTCAAAAATGGTGCTACTATTTTCAGATAATATGTTTGAATATAATATTTGGCTTCTGTTATAAAGACCACAGTTAATGAGGGTCAGAAGAACTGGATTCTAGCCTTGGCAGTGTTGTTAAGTGAGTAAGCTTACATATATTACTAAATTTACTTTTAAGAGTTTGGAATAGATAAAATAAGATCCTCTTCTGTAGTAGGCCTACTACTACAGAACCTGCATTTCAATCTGATAAATAAAGGTTCAATCTGATGAATGAAGGTTCACTGTGTAGATCAAGACTGTGCTGAGAATTGAGATTAATGTGTAATTGATAAAATAGAAAGGAATCATGGATTGATTATTGTGCTCAGAGTCAGAAATGAGTTGTGTTGTTTATCAGTGATCAGAAGTGATTTGGATAAGAAAAGGTCCAGGAATAAATTCCGGAAGGATGAATAATAAAACATTTTAGGTACCCTTATGAATTCTTGAATTCTTTGCTGGAGAGTTTTTTAGAATGTTATAATACTTGAACTTCAGTATGTTAAATAAGTTTTGGTTGAAGTAGCAACTCTAAACTTTTACCTTTTAAAATAACATATTTAAAGAACGAAAGTAATACGGTATTTTCTCTATTTAATACAAAATATTAGATACTCTAACATTTGGTAAAGTTCTAAAACTCCCTTCTCTGCTGAAATTGTCAGTTACCAAGAAAAGTATGATTCCTTTCAAAGGATGAAAATGTGTTGGTGATTATGTACTGTCCTCTTACCTTCCTTTCTCTTGTTCCTTTTCAAAGTCGAGAGGATTAGTTGATCTCTTATTACATGTACTACTTCATTTCCTTTTAGTTGCAAGGGAAGTAGAATATGCATATTAAGTGATATGCACATTCCTTTGTATTACTTTTTTTTTTAAAGATTTATTTGTACACACAGAACTGGGGTACAGGCCAGAGATGTGAAGGGTGATGGGATTCACCAGAGACAGAGTGGGGAGCAGAACAGGCAGATGGACGAAGTACACTGCTGAGGGGAGCAGCGGGTAGGTCAGGGGAGGTCTGCCGCTCCATGTGGTCACCTCCGGGGCAGGTGGGAATCGAACTCATGTGGAAGTGGCTTTAGCTTCTCAGTGCAGTGCTTTAACCTGCTGCGCCACCAGGGAGGGCCCAGTATTACTTATTTTTATTGTGATATAATTCTTATGCCATATAATTCACCCATTTTAAAGTATACAATTTTGTGGTTTTTAAGTATATTCATAGAGTTGTACAATTGTCATCATTATTGTTACCGCTAGAGCCAGGTAACTAGTGATATTTCTGTTTATGGATGTACCTATTTTGGACATTTGATGTAAGTTGAATCTTATAATATGTGACAGCCTGTTGTGTCTGCCTCAGAGACATGTGGCATTTTTTTCAAGTTTCATCTGTGTTGTGAAGGATATAGGTAAATTTTCATTTTACTATCCATGGTCATTTGGGGAGTAATGGAATGGAAATATTTGAGAACCATGGCTAGGTTTTTAATTAGTATTTTCATAGTATAATTCAAAGCCCTTTCTAAATTGAATTTAATGTAGTAAATCAACTTATTTTTACCATAAACTTTGAAACTACAGGTTTTTTTGTTTTTTTGTGTTTTTTTTTTTTACATACATAGAGCTGTTTATGCTTCAACTGTCTAGTAGTATTTTTGTGGTTACTACTTTTTGAAAGGATGTGCTCTTTTAAAATTCTCTTTAAATTACATTTTAGGCTCTTTTAAATATATAATGAATTTAGGTATATAAATTGCCAGCTATATTGTTTTAAAATTTCGGTAAGATTATTTTGCTAAATATCCTATTAGATCAGAAATGACTAACACAGGTAATGTTCACCCAATTGTGTTTAGAGTAGATAGTGAACTAAAGTTTGTTAGGTTCCCATTTGTTCTTAGTAAATGAATTCAGAATTCTTAGAAGGCTGAATCTCATTTTGATGAACAATTACAGGCTTAATTTCATATATAGGTATTTTCACAGTGACATACTGAGAAATGCAAAAGTCTCAAACAGGTCTTCACCTAAAAGAATCATTTGGAAGATGTTTGACAATGGTAATTTTAGTTCTGGTAAGTTAGGTTTCTTCGAAATGTGGTTCCCTTATGTTTTAGTTCACCTGACACTCATTAAACTTTGGAAATTCTAAAATATTATTGGAAATTAGATACATTCTCTTTAAATTTATGTTAACATCAATTCTGTAGATCAGTGGTTTTTGTGAAACATAGAGTTGAGCATACCTAAGTAGAGTTTGTGAAGTAATTATAGTAAGTGGCACCGGATTTCTAAATGCTACAAGGCTATTGATTTGGGGTGCTATGTAAAGATTTTGCAACATTAAATTTAATTCAGAAATTCATTAGATCAGTTTTGTTTGAATGATATTTGACATTTTAAAATTCACAACATGATGTTTTATGTAATCTTCTGCTGGTGTCTCAGTATAATGGTTGTCCTTGGAATCTATGCCATTGACACTTAATAGCTGTTTAAGATTTTATTGCTGCAAAATTGTATGTTGCTTTTGGATTTAAATAGCAAAGCATACTTAGGTAGTGGCTCAAAACAAATCCCCCCCCCCAAAAAAAATTTATGTTATCTTTCTGGTTAAGTTCTAGGCATTGACATTTAATAAGTAACTTTAGTGCAATGGGAATTCTTAAAATGATGTCTTGTTTCTTAATGTTACCTGATTAACTAATTGATTTCATAACTTCTTAAATGAGTTTTTATTTATAGCTTGCCATATAGTGAGGTAAATTTTTTATACCATTTAAGGCTACATGCTAAATGATTTACAATTTAAATGAAACCTATGTGATAGGTTTTTTTACTATTTTCCTTTCAGAACTTCTATTAGTGGTGATTCATTTGGTTTACCCTATAAACTTCTTTTTAAATAAATGTCCTCCAAATGAGAACATTCTATTCTCCTTCTTTAGTCTAGTAGACAAAAAAATCAATCTGGATCAAACCATGAGTTCAATTTTCAGCGTAAACTTTGGGAATACTTACTTAACCTCTCTAAAGCATGGTTTCTTTATATTAAAAATGAGAAAAATGCAATCACCATATTATACAGTTGTTCTGTGGCTTAAGTGGGATGATATACATAAACATATTAGCAAATTTCTTGGAGCATAATCACTGCTCAATAAATATAACTAATGTATAATTCAATGACTGTGTAGAAATCCAATGAAATCCAACAGATGAACTAAAAACAAAGGATAGCACTTAATACAAGACATCTTGGATCTTAGTCTGAGCAATATGCCAGTATCCTGTAGGGTATTTATCAATTCTTGGTCTAGAATTTTTGTGATTTCTTGAAGTTCAGGATAAGCATACTTACTTGGATTTATTTTGGTTTAGATCTGATTTACTTTGGCCTGTAAGTTCCAACTAGAGTAATGTTAGGCAAGCTGAAAAGCACTTACTCCATTCTGTTTCCTTAGAATTCTCCCAGCCAGATTAATCTGAATTCAGGCCAGCACTAGTGATATCCAATACTTTCTGAAAAACCAAACTTACCTCTATCAGCAGTGCTCTAACATAAGTAGAAATTACCTTAAGTGTGAGTTGAGAAAAATTTCATGAAATATTAATTTGATTGTTTATATATGTAGATATTGTGAATTTTATTGATTTAACATTAAAGTTTTCCTCACTAAAAAACACTTTTCTAGTCTGGCTGAATGCTAAATTTGAACCCTACTTTTCCCCTGTCTCTGAAATGGCCTGTGAGGTAGAGAATGAATATAAAAAGTCTGTTTTGTGCCTTCCACTTTTTATTGTAAGCATTCTTGGAGAGTTGTTCAGGGACTTTATGTTTATAACATGCTTTATGGTATAATAAGCTTGTCATACTTTATTAACTCACTAAAGTATCCGTATCCTTTTATATTTTTTTACCTTAATTTTAAATTAAAAAAAAAACTAGACTTAATAGTAGGTAGAAAACTGGTACATAGTGTTCCATATAATCCTTTCTCATCTTTCTCCATAAGCGATGTGTTATATAACTATAGTGCAGCATCAAAATATGAATATTAACATTGGTGCATTATTGTTACAAATCTCATTCATTTTTAAACATTTTTTAATATGCATTTGGATTTATGTTTGTGTGGATTTGGGTAAGCACCACTACAAAGAAGATAGAAAATTCATAAAATTCATCATCATCAGATATTATGCTAATAGATTCACACAAATTCCCATGATTGGCTACTGCTAATCTGTTTTCTATTTCAATAGTTATATAATTTTATTTAAGAATGTTATATAAATTATTCCATTAATATATGATACTGTCTTTTTAACTCAGCATATTTTTCTGGAGATTGATTCAAGTTTTTGAGTGTATTAGTAGTTTGTCCCTTTTTTATTCACTAGTATTCCATGGTAAGGTGGTGCCAGAGCAGGTTTGATCAATGATTTAGCTACTGAAGGATTTTTGGGGTTCTTTTCATTTTTTTTCACTCTTAGGAGAAATAGCTACCAGGAACTGCTACATATAAATATTCATGTAGTTTTTTTGTATAAACATAAGTTTTAATATCTCTGGGAAAAGATACACTAAAGTATAACTTTGGGATTTAAAGTATGTGTTTAGTTTTATATGAAACTACCAAACTATTTATCACAGTGGCTAGTGCCATTTAATTTCCCTCCAACAAGATATGAGAAAACATAGAAGAGATTCAGTTTCTTCTCTTCACCAATTTGTGGAGGTATTTTTTTTTAAATTTTAGCTTTTCTAATTGATGTGTAGTGCTATTTCAGTGTGGCTTTATGTTTTACTTGAAAATAAAGTACATTACTCTTTAAAGTCTCAATTTATATTTTGCTAACATTGTTTTCTCCCACCTCTACCCCACTTCCTGGTTGGTGATGTTTTTTATTGCAGATAAATTGTCTGTGATTTTTTTTAAGCGATAAGTTTGGCCAGGACTATTTATTAATTTGAAAATGTGTTGCCACCTGATGTGTTAAATACAGTACTTTTAATTAATAAAATAACTTTGATTTGTGTAATTGTTTGTATTATAGTGGCTGGAATGGCTGGTACTGCGCATATCGATGGAGACCATATTGTTGTTTCAGTTCCTGAGGCTGTATTAGTTTCTGATGTTGTCACAGATGACGGGATAGCTCTTGATCATGGCCTTGCAGCTGAAGTTGTCCATGGACCTGATATAATCACTGAGACTGATGTAGTAACAGAAGGTGTGATTGTTCCTGAAGCTGTACTTGAAGCTGATGTTGCCATTGAAGAAGATTTAGAGGAAGATGATGGTGATCACATTTTGGCTTCTGAGCTAATTACAGAAACCGTTAGAGTACCTGAACAGGTTTTTGTTGCTGATCTTGTTACTGGTCCTGATGGACACTTAGAACATGTGGTCCAAGATTGCATTTCAGGAGTTGACTCTCCCACAATGGTATCAGAAGAGGTTCTTGTAACAAATTCAGATACAGAAACTGTTATTCAAACAGCTGGTGGTGTTCCTGGTTCTACAGTTACAATTAAAACTGAGGAAGACGAAGATGATGATGATGATGATGATGATGATGTCGATGTCAAGAGCACTTCTGAGGACTACTTAATGATATCTTGTAAGTGAAATTTAAATTTCATAATTATTTGAGAGATTGATTTATATATAACCTGGTAAGATTTCTTGGGATGGGGATTATTCAATCAGTCACAGGGTGAATCTACTTGAAATCTTTTTTTTTTTTCAAAGTTGTGCTGATAAGAATTTTGAATTTGCTTGTGGTTTTTTTAAGTTGCTCAGTGAAAATTCGTATTCAAAATGAAGTGAAGCAATGCAAGTTTTTAATATCTTAGAATAGAAATATAGATTTGAAAGATTCAACCAAGAACATTAAATAGAAAAAATTAATATAAACTTTTACATATCAAAGGAGAGTATTATTTTATGTAGCCCCTGCTTTCTTTTTTATATGGCAAGTATTGGAGTTGGCAAATCAGTATTGCTTAGGAATTTAAGAAATGTGTAATTCATTTTTTAATTAAATGCATGAAAAGTAAATTATAAACTCAGATTGTAGTCTAGAGTTCTCCCTTTGTTTACTTCCTGTTTATTTAAATATGTGTGTATATTCTATGAAGAAATATTATAATGTGCTTATTTCCGATGCTTTATGATATTCTTAAGTCATCCCATTAAGTAGAAAATTAGAAATATCTTGTTCTCACGTGGTAGGATTACCTCAACAGCAATAATAATAAAAATCTCATAATAAGTTATAGATGGACCCTGGAGAAGCTTATCTATTCCTTACAAGGTTTGACAGCATCATGCTGGAAGTAGTAGTAAAGATTACATAAAGACTTCACTTTTCCAGGGAGAACTTTTGCTCTTTCTAAAATAAAAGATTAATTGGAAAGTACCAGATAGTATGTATAAAATGATTGTATGTTATGTATGTGTATCATTGAATTTAAAACTTAAAAAAATTAGATTTATTTAATTTATAAAAACAATTATGAAATCTATCATTTTAACTTTCTTCTGCTATAAGCACTTTTGAAGGTAAACAATCACATTGTTTTTAAGGGACTGATTTAAACCATTCAGGGACTAGTTTGTGCAAATGTTTCCTCATTTTAAATTGATGTGGTTTACTATAGCAATTGCATAATTACATTTTAAGCTGACATTAAAGAAAAAACTATTATGTTATATAAGATAGTGTGGCAAATGTTTATTGTCTTTTTGTTCCAAAATAAATTCTGTATTCCTTTAAAAGGAGTACTTGTCAAACTAAATTGTGATATTTAAATAGTTTAAAAATTTATACATCTTTCTTATTGTGAATAGTTACAACTTATCTTCTGTGATTGGATTCCACAAAATATTTTTAAATATATAGAATTTTTATTTTAGAATATGTTTATTGATATTGCCTTGTATGTCAAATGCAAAGGACTTCTGTTTTTCTAGTCTAATAGGATTAGACTGAAAATTATAGAGAACATTGTATCGCATGAATAATACTGGAATTGCTACAGAAACCTTTTAGGGAGACTTGGTTTGGGTATTAGCTGCTTATTTACTTAGGTTTCTTTCTCTGTATTCTACATATTAGTAAAATCATTCAATATTTGTCTTTCTCCTTCTAACTTATTTCACTTAGCATAATCCCTTCCACTACTATCCATGTTGTTCCAAAAGCATGAAAAAACATTTTTTATAGTCGAGCAGTATTTCATTATTATATACATATATATATACACACATACACATGCACACCACATCTACTTAATCCACTGTCATGTCAGTGGGCATTTAGGTTGTTTCCATCACTTTGATTGCAGTGACTATTGCTACAATAAAAATAGGAGTGCACATATCCCCTTAAATTAGTGGTTTGTATTCGTCAAGTAGATTCTTACGAGTAGAATTGATGGATCTATTTTTAATAATTAGAGAAATCTTCATACTGTTTTCCATAAGGGCTGGACCAGTCTACTATCCTACCTTTTTCTCCACATCTTTGCCAGTGTTTGTTATTTCTGATGTATTTTTGATATTGGCCAATTCACACTGGAGTGAAGTGGAATCTCATTGTGATTTTAATTTGCATTTCCCTGACAACTGATCATGAGTTTGTTTGTTTGTTTGTTTGTTTGTTTTCACGTGTCTGTTACCTATCTGTATGTCTCTTGGTGGGTAGTGCCTACTTAGCACTCCTGCTTATTTTTTGGGGGGGGGAAGTATTTGTTTTCTTTTTGTTAACATGTAGAAGTTCTTTATATATCTTGGATATCAGCCTTATGTTAGATATATGATATACAAATATTTTCTCCCCTTTATTAGGTATCTTTTTTTCTTTCCTTTCCAAATTGGATTTATTGAGGTAAAGTATGTTTACATCTTTGTATCTATTCCAGTGCTTATATACCTCTGCAGCTGTATACTTTTATCCTACCCACCACCAGTACCCCAACAATCCTCCACCATTTTCCATTGGACTCCTTCTCCTCTCTCTCTACTCCTATCCCACCACCTTCTCCTGATTGCCTCAGTTTTGAGGTCAGATATTAAGAGTTTATTATTGAATTGGTTTTGACTGGCTCTCTGTTATATTTTTCTACATTCTACAAATAAGAGACACCATTCTGATTGTATTTTGCTCCTGATTAATTTTGTGTAGTATTATCCTCTTTAGTTCTATTTATGTTGTCAAAAATGGCAATAGTTGCATAGTGTTTTGCTTTGTGTGTGTGTGTACCACTTCTTTCTGATATACTTCTCTGTCCTTGGGAGTTTAAGTAGTTTACACAACTTAGCTATTGCAAATAGGGCTGTAATGAATATAGGAGTACATATCCCTTGGTATTACTTCATTCTTTGGGAAGATAAATGGGAGGAGTGGAATTTCTGGGTCATTTGGTAGATTTATTTGTATTATTTTGAGAAACCTCCATGCTGTATTCCATCGGGGCTGATGAAGTTACATTCCTGCAACAGTGTATGAGGATTCCTTTTTCTCCACATCTTGCTAGCCCTTTATATTTCTGGTCTTTTTTTTTTTTTTTTTTTTTTTGATGTGAGATAGTATCGGATTATAGTTTTGATTTGCGATTTCTGGATGATAAACATTTTTTTTTATGTGCCTATTGGCCATCTGTATGTCTTCTATATAGACATCTGTATAATGTCTATTTAATAGCTCTTCTGCTCAGTTTTGATTGGGTTAATTGCTTTCTTTTTGTTGTGTTGTATGAGTTCTTTATATATTTTGGATATCAACCCTTTGTCAGATGTGTTAACATCAAGTATTTTCTCCCATTCATTAGCGTGTCTTTCTTTGATAGCTTCTTTCCGCTTTGAAGAAGTTTATTAGTTTGAGGTAATGCCATTTGTTTTTATTTCCTTTGCTTCCTGCTGTTGGAGACCAGTCATGATAATTTTTTTCACTGTCAAAGCTTTGTATCTTAATGTGTCCCCATTCATTTATTTTTCCTTTTGTTTTCTGTGCCATTGGAGTCAAATCCCCAAAGGCATCCCTGGAGCCAATGTCATGGAATGTTACTTCCTTTGTATTTTATTTTAGCTGGTCTTATATCCAGATTTTAAATCCATTTTGAGTTAGTTTTTGTGTATGGCATGAGAAAGTGATCTAGTTTTATTTTTCTTCATGTGGCTGTCTTGTTTTCCCATAACCTATTATAAGAGACATTCATTGCATATTGTGTACTCTTTGGCTTTTTTATTGTGGAGTGTCCATATAAGTGTGTGTTTATTTCTGGACTCTGAATTTTATTCCTTTGGTCTTTGTGTCTGTTTTTATTCCATTGTCATGCTGTTTTTATTACTATAGATTTCTAGTATAGTTTCAAGTCTGGGACTCCAGTAACCTCACTTCCCTTATTTTTTTGTTAAGATTTGCTTAGACGATTTGGTGTTTTATGGTTACATAAGCAATTTCAGTAATATTTGCTCTATTACATTAAAGAAGTCCACTGAAACTTTGATATGGTTGCATCGAATTTATATATTTCTTTGCACAGGATAAGCACTTCAGCAGTGTTGATTCTTCCAATCCATGAACATGAAATGGCTTTCCATTTCCTCAGTTTTTCTATTTCTTTTAACAGTGTCTTATAGTTGTCACTGAAATAAGTCTTTCATTTCCTTTGTTAGGTTTATCCTTAGATATTTAATACTTTTTGATTATACATTTCTTACAACATTTTGGTGGAATCTTTGTATTATTTATGTGTATTATATCTGCAAATAGTGATAGTTTTACTTCTTTTCCAAGTTGGATTCTTTTATCTTTTTCTTGACAAATTGCTCTAGCTAATACTTAAACTATCATGTTTAATAGTAGTGGTGAAAGTGGACATACTAGAGTTCCTAATGATCAGAGAAAAAAAAAACATTCATTTTTCACCATTTAATATAAGACTAAAATTTCAGGTTTGACATATATGGCTTTTTTAATGCTATGTTCCTTCTACCCCATTTTAATGAGTATTTTTGTCATAAATGTATACTGAATCTTGTCAAGTGCTATTTCTGCATCTATTAATATGACCATGTGATTTTTGTCTTTTCGTTTTGTTGATATGGTGAACTACATTGATTGCATATGTGGAACCATCCTTGCATCCTTGCATTAAATTCCACTGGGTCATATTTTATTCATTTAATGTCTTCTTGTATTTGATCTGCTAAGATTTCATTGAGAATTTTCCATCTGTTTTCATAGGGATATTGGTTGATAGTTTTCCATTTTTTGTTGTTATGCTTTTTTTTGGTATCAGAGTAATGTTGGCCTCATAAAATGTGTTTTGGAACATTCTCTGTTCCTCAACATCTGACTCAAAACTGAGGCAATCAGAGGGAGAAGGTGGTGGGATGGGAGTGGTAGAGGCAAAGAACCAATGGAAAACAGTGGATTCTTGGGGTACTGGTGGCCCGTAGGTACTAGTTTGTTTTTGAAGCTTTGGGTGGAATTCTGAATAAAATTACTTGGTCTGGACTTTAGTTTCTTTGGAGTGTTTTGATACTCTTTCAACTTCCTCTGTGTGATTTGTTTGTACATATTTTCTATTGTTCTTAATTCAGACTTGGTAA